TGGCTTGATATACAAGAGTGGAGGAAATCTTGAAATAAAGGGATACACTGATGTTGATTGGGCTGGTTCTGTATCTGACAGAAGGTCCACTACAGGTTATTGTACTTTCCTTGGGGGTAATTTGGTGACATATAAAAGTAAGAAACAGACAGTTGTGGTAGGAAGTAGTGCAGAAGCTAAATACAGAGCCATGGCATATACCACTTGTGAACTAATGTGGTTGAAAAATCTTCTACAGGAGATGGGATATTCCATTGACACTCCAATGAAGCTTTATTGTGACAACCAAACTGCAGTCAACATCTCTTCTAATCCAGTGTTTCATGAGAGAGCAAAGCATATAGAAGTTGATTGTCACTTTATGAGAGAGAAGGTGTTTAGTGAAGTGATAGATACTGCATATGTTAACACAGGAAGCCAATGGGCAGACTTGTTCACCAAAGGGTTGAGTCGGGGAAGAGTGGACTACATATGTAACAAGCGGGGACTATATGATATATACTCACCAGTTTGAGGGGGAGTGTTAGTGTCGACTGTATAGGGGTAGTTTAGTCCTATTTATGTTTAAGCTGATGTGTAATGTTTATGTCAAGTGATGTGTCTCATACTTAAGTAGGGACATAATAGTCTTTTGCTTTAATTCAATAGAAACATATAAATATAACTTGGCCGATTAGAGAGAGTGATTTTTCTCTCTTGTTCGAACCAGTTTTCTCCTTCTCCTTTCTTTTCTTCTTTTCTTCTTTTCTTCTCTTCTTCTCTTCTTATCTCTTCTATCTCCTCTAATCTTCCTCTAACTCTAACAGAATTCTAGTGCAGGTCTGAACTTTATCAGGGTTTTCTCAGTTAAATCTATGGCAGAAAAGCTAAGCCAAGGTGCTATTGCGGGTTTTCCTAAGCAAACAGATTTGGGTCTCTACTAGTCCTTCTAAGGCAAGCTTTCTAGTTTGGGTTCTGGATCTAGACAAATGCCTGTCTAGAGTTAATCTGAGTAGACGAGGAATTCAGATTCCTGATCTGAATTGTGGTCTATGTGCTTTGGTTCCTGAACTGGTGGTCACCTATGCATTCATTGCCCTCTGTCTGCTAAGTTGTGGGAGCATTTCATCAATTCTTCCGGCATCAGTTGGGTTATGCCTCGAGCTATAAAGGAGGTGCTGTGTAGTTGGAAGCTTCCTAGGCTGAGCAAGAAAGGGAAGCTTGTCTGGAAAACAATCCCTGCAGTTGTCCTGGTCACTGTCTGGACTGAAAGGAACAGTCGTGTTTTCTGCAACAAGGCTAGAGCTCTTGAAGATCTGCTTAAAATTGCTGTCAATAGACTTGGTTCCTGGTTATCTGTAATTTCAGAATTTAAAAATCAGAATGCCTTTCAGCTCCTTGAATCCCACTCCATTTGAACTTTGTAACGTGGTTGTTCTCCTAGTGTTTTTCCACTAGGTTGCTGTTGTACTGTAGCTTCTCTTATCAATAAAATTTTTACTTTACCTTCARAAAAAAAAAGAACAGCAAATGCCTATGCAGACGCTTTGGCAAAGCAGGGTATGGGAAGATTGTACTGGGCTGTATTGTGAGCTTGTTGTTGCTTTCTTGGTGTGAAGCCTTTTTAACTCTCGCTCTGATTGTTGTACTGTTGTTTATATATTAATCTAATGAAATTCTGTTATTGATCAAAAAAATCACATTAGCCATTTGAATTTTGAAGTAATGCAATTGGAAAAAGAATAAAGAGATCGAGAGTTATATGCTTGAATATGTTTTATAAGTTATGCTTACGTATTTTAATTTGAGATAATAGGTTTTATTAAAACATTTATTTTAAAATTTAAGTATATTTTTAATTAATATTATGTAAAATATTTTGAACTTTTTGAATTTTGGGGCATATATATTTTTAATTTTTTCAATTTCAGACGCAAAATGCCCCTTGCACTTTTTTTTTGTCTTGTGCTTTTAAAGCTTAGGAGTGGTATGTGCGACAGCCAGGGCTGACAAAACTTAAACCATGATGTCATATAGAATTAAATGTTTGTATACAAACATGGCAGCCCCCCAGCCTAGCTCAAACCTCCCTACCCTTTCTCTTAATAAAGAGCCAGCTTATGTGTTTTAATTTGAGATAATAGGTTTTATTAAAACATTTATTTTAAAATTTAAGTTTATATTTTTAATTAATATTATGTAAAATATTTTGAACTTTTTTATGGATAAAATTTTTTGAATTTTTGGGCATATATATTTTTAATTTTTTCAATTTCAGGCGCAAAATGCCCCTTGCACTTTTTTTGCGCYTTGTGCTTTTAAAGCTTGGGAGTAGTATGTGCAACAGCCGGGGCTGACAAAACTTAAACCATGATGTCAAATAGAATTAAAAGTTTGTATATAAACATGGCAGCCCCCCAGCCTAGCTCAAACCTCCCTACCCTTTCTCTTAATAAAGATCCAGCCAGGCTATTGGTTGAGATTTAAGAGTCCACCTAAATGAGCAGTTCAAACTATATGCCAATGGATTTTCTTCTTTTATCCAATATCTAATGTGTTAGAGGTTACAAGGGTATATTTATAATGTTGATACATTTTTGGGACTTGTATGTACTTATGGGAGGAAGAGGGGCCTATGTGAAATTCTGATATAATTGGGTCTTTTGCTTATTTAATCCAATTGGTTGTGTGGGATTAGGGTTGTGTGAGAGTGGATATTTTGTTGTAAATGAAAGGTCAGTCATGTATCTCTTGTTCTCATAGTGGATGATTTCCCTCTCTTCTCGTGGATGTAGGTTACCGAGCCAAACCACATTAAATCTTGGTGTTTTCTCTTTTTTTTTTTTTGATGAATTGGTGTTTTCTCTATTTCTTCTTCTTATTTTCTTTTTGATTTACTATTCTCTTTCCTACTGGTTGGCATTGTATCAGAGCAGGTTTAGTGTGGGAATTAGTTTGGTGAAGCAAGGAAGACTAGCAATCGAGTTACTATTCACTCAAGGTCTGTGGTGCTTGAATCTGTAAAGCAATCTGTTAGGGACTTTTACCATTCAATGAGGAATATTTGTGAGTTTTTTTCATTATTTTCTTGGAATTTTACTAGACCCCAAAAAGGGTGATATTGCTTCTCGTTGCTTATTTCAGAAACCAGAAAAAAAGTAACATCAGATTTGGATTTTCTTTCAGTTCTCTCTCACACCTAGTGGAATCTAGACTTGAGGTTTTAGAGTTCAGGTCGTTTTTATATGAGAAAGAAGATCAAATGGGTCATTTCAGCAAGGAAATCTGATCTGGTTGGTATATTAGGGCATCTTCCAATCCTTTTTTTTAACACTATTAAAGCTTTTTTGGGATTTTCTCTTTTGTTGGCTCTGTGGAATGACTCCCTCTATGGAAGGGTTTATATTTTCCCTCCTCATCTTGTGGGTTATGCTCCCTAGCATCTGAACTAGTTCATATCTTCAAGCAAATTCTGGTTTCTATGTTGCATATCAGCTATTTGATATTTTGATTATTGTCTAAAAGGTTGGTTGTTGGTCATTTAGCCAACTTTGGCGTTTTCTTTCGAAGTTTTAACTTTTCAAAGTATTATACAAGCTCTGCAACTTCTCTGGTCTATGGTCTACTTATGACTATCAATATCAGCATGTCATACTAGATCTCAGGGTGACTATTTGGTGTTCAAGAAAATGTCTTGATGGTGCAAAATTTCTACAATGATTCTCCATTGTTATGATCGGTTCTAATCTAATCTTGTTTGTGGTTTGGTTTGATATTTAGACTATTTTGGTTTGATAGATTCCATAAAATATCAATCCTGTTGCCAAATCTCTTAACCGACCAGCTGATCAAAAAGTCCCTTAGCTTTTTTTTGTTAGCCGTATGGGCTACACAACACAATAGGGGCAGCCTTCCCCCAAAGCCCCCTTATCCCTTGTGAAGGCAAAATTTGATCCCAGGTCTCTGCTACAACCCCAGATAAAGACTTTAGCAGGAAGCTAGTTGGCCCTCAACTGGCCAAAGCTCAATGAGGGAAAAAAAATCCTTATTCCTAAAGAATTTACTCAATGCCTACTAAAGAGCTTAACAAAATGAATCCATAACTCACCAGCATAACTACAATAAAGATGGAGATGGGTAACCAATTCCTCAACATTCAGAAGACCTATATCCCTGGGATAAAGGATTCCTGAAGAAGCTTCTGTTAAACATTCAATTTAATCCGGTCATCATCCATTAGCTGGCTGCTTCATTATTTTCCCCCTGTGATGCTTAAGTTCATTACTTTTTTCTGTTTGTTCAAGTTCATTACTTAGAAATAGCAGAATTAGTAACCATGTCTACACTACAAGCATCATAAGATAATTATCTTACCAATTGTTCAATACCACTCTTTCCCAGGGCCCCAACAAAATGGTGAAAAGCAACGATTCTTTGCTATTTTACATCATTCTAAGCCTTATCTTAACAATATGGGGCTGGCTAGTTACATAAATAAAGTGAAAAACTTACCAGTATTCTAGAAGCTTCAATTCTCAGAATATAAATAAAGTGATACCAAACTACTTTCTCAAATAATGAAAACGGAAGAATGATTTAATCATCTGTAAGGCCACTTTAGACATGATGGATCCAGACATATGCATATAACAGGTGATTGGTGAAATGGTTGATTTGTTGATCAATCCTTCTCAATTTCCTTTCATAAGCAAAAGAGAATATTTTGTACTGATAATTTCGATTTGATTGCGTTTGTCAGGTTTTTTACAGTCAAATTTTATACGGTTTCTCGGAAGAGAGTGTGTGCAAAACCCTAATTACGAGAAGAATTGCTTAATTCTGAACCAAATTTTCATGTAACTTAGAATCCAGAAGGAATTTCCTCTTACAATCAAAACCAAAACCAAACATTAAATAAAGCAACTACGTAATGGATGCCCATAATCCCTATAAGTAGAAAGGGGAAAAGCCAATTAAGATACAAATAACTCCTCGACTGAGACATCCAAAAGGAGGCATACCTTCCATCAATCAAAGAATCGAAAGTAAAAGAAACCAAATGGCAATCTGGGTTGGTCTCATCGACCTCAAGCTTTATCGTATCTTTATGCACATTCACATCGTTCTTAATCTTCTTGGCGTTCTGATGGTCAACATAAGGAGGCGGAGGCTGGAGAGGAACTCCTGGGGGCCGAATTCCATGCCACCCATTGACACGATTACCGTAATACGGAGAGAAATTAGACGATCCACTGTATCCGCTGGAATTATATCCCGCATACTGATAGTATGAAACATGATGAGGAGGGGGTGGGGGTGGTGGCAGTGTATGATAAGGATTCTGGGGTGGGTACGAGGGTGCAGGATATGGCGCGTTCGCTGCAAAAACATAGTTAGGTGGTTGTGAAGGAGGAGGAGGAGGAGAAGAAGAAGAAGAAGAAGAAGAAAGCGTACATGGATTTGAAGAAAAAGGATTATTAGTATCTGAGGCAGAGGCGGCAGCAGCAGCAGTGGTAGCAGAAGACGAAGAAGAAGAAGAAGAAACGAGCTGTGAAGGATACTGGGTATTGTTCGTTCTTCTACTGCTCCATGACAGTCCCATGGTTTGGGGTTTGTAGGGTGTATACTGTATAGAGAGAAGAGGGAAGAAGAAGAAGAAATGGGAGAGGACTGAGGAGAGAGTCTCGACGACTCTTGAGAGTTGAAGGAAATCGCAATCTTCGTGCAGTTGAAGAAGGTTGGCTGTCAGACCAAATCGACTCCGGATCTCCTGCCCACGAAAATCCTGCCAACGCCTACGCACAATACATCACCCCCGTGAATTGAGAATATCTCTCCTGCATAATACTGTTAGAGGATGAAAAGTTCTTCGTGACTGCGATAAACGTGGACAAAATTATCATAAATAAGAGATCCGGATTCGACCAAATCAGCCCCCACAACATCCCACGGTCGTGATGTGCTGTGAGACGTTGATGGGGCAATCTCGTGGGAGGGTTGATTTGAATTCTTGACTGTCACGTCTACAGTTATACTCGTAACAGTTGACCGACCAATCACAATACACCACATAATCATCGTGGAGGTAGAGACCACATCAGGCTGACGTAGCATATCGTAATTGGCCCTGTATCCTCCAGTTCCGGTAGAAGATCCGAACACCAAAGAGTCAAAGACAAACCCAAATGTGGACCGCATTTTCTTTTTTCTGGAGCCCACACCTAAAGGATAGAATTGTTCTCGGAACGTACGATTGGGATCGCGGTCCACTATCTGACGATCATATACTTATTTTCTCAACAATAGAGTGAACAGCCTTAGCAGATAGTTCGTACTTCGTTATTGGGGTCGGCAGTCGGTGGACGGTGAGTTGAAATCCGTCCAGTATTGAGAACATTTTTTAATAATATCAAAAATTATTAGGAGATTTGATCTCGTGGAGGGTGGGAGGCAATTTTGTGGAAGGCTGATTTGATCTCGTGGAGGGTGGCTAAAGTTAATGGACCCATATGCTGATATGCCCACTGCTCTAGTGCCCTGTCCCCACTTCCCCTAAATTAGCTAAATAAAAGGAAAAAGTTAATAGGTGTTAATATATTATCATTTTAATATTTAGACATGAAAAAAGGAAAAAGTTCAAAAAATATATATTTTCAAATATAAAATATATAAAAATATAGAAATTACAAAAAATTATAGAAATTGCAAACAAAATGAAAAATTATTTTCAATTTATAGAAACTATAGAAATTGAAAAACAAAATCAGAAAATACAAATTGTAGAGAAAACATCAAAAATTATAGAAAAGTACATAACTTGCAAATAAATAACAAAAAATATAGGAAAATTTATAGATTGTAGAAAATAGAAAATGTAAAAAAATCAGAAATTATAAAAAACACTAGAAATGCAAAAAAAAACAAGAAAATTGAAAACTAAAAAAAAAAACAATTTTCCTCTAACTCATCATTCAAGGGTAATTTGGTCATGAAAATTATTATTTATGTTGGCATGGACACCTCTGTTAAGAAGCATTAATGGTGCACTAACGGAATGTGAGTTTTAGAAAATAAAAACTTACTGACATGGTGAGTTTTAGACATTTTGAAAAGTTGTGGTAATTTAAGAGAAATGTTGAAAACTCATGGTGAGTTTGACACTATTAGGCATCACATAAGTTAAACAATAGTAAAATGCTTTGGTGTTCAGAAAACATCAGGCAATACCTCATGTTTGATTATGTGTTTTATTGAAAAATGTTATATTTAAATTATATTTTGGAAATCCAAAAAAATATGTGATTGGAGAAATGCCCTTTTTGGTGTTTTTTTTTCATTTTTATTATTGTTAGCAATAATATGCGAACATGACATTAAAAAAAATGAAGCTTCCCCCAATGGATGACTCATTCAAATTAAGACAAATGTTTATTTAATAAGCAATTTACTAAATAACATTTTAGAATAAAAAATTATGTGAGAAACTGACAATGAGCTGGCACCCTTACTCTAATACCATGACAATGGAACCAAACACCATCTAGATCATGTGATGATATTTAACCTAATTGAATAGGGATTTTTACATATTCTTCTCCCTTGAAAAATTTTATTGATTTGTGCATTTGGAACAATGACAACTGACAAATAGAAATTCTATCAAAATTCAAGGGGATAGTGAATCAATGTTTTAAAAATAGACCCAAAGCCATTATGGCCACTGGTTTCTGGGTCAATGGTTCGATCGTCCGGTTCAAATGAATGACACGTTATGACAAAAAAATAAAAAAATAATTAAATAAAAATGGTCAAAAACCATTAAACAGATCGAACGGTCGACGATTCAACCACATGGGTCAACAATTTATTGACCAATTCAATGGTTTTTGACCGATAATTGAATTTAGAATAAAACGGAACCAGTTGTATGAATGATTACTAGGCCGAACAATCTGACCATCTGAATCAACGGTGGTTCTAAAACATTGTAATGAATCATAGATGAATGTCTTAGTAAATAAAACAAAAATTAAAATTTCCAAGATGGAGCAAATCATTAATCTTGATTTAACATGCAACACTTAATTAGATAATTTAGACTTTTATTAAAATGTAAGAACTAGTACTAACATGACTCTTCCATAAATGGTTCCTTACCCTTCTTCCGGTCATGATGATAATGTCAACATAATTCTTATCACGTCAGATTGGAATTCGATTGACGCCTATACCCCCACGGTCTATCTTACCAAGCCATATCTTTGGAATATAGTAAGCCTGAGAAGAAGATGAAGTAAATATAGTTGAATGAAAAGTTTATGATTCGTACCTTGTACGGTAAGCTTTTCTAATTTTCTTAGGGTTCACATTTCTGAATGAGATTTTTTTTCTATTTTCTAAAATCTTATCGTTAATGATATTTTTTTGTACGTAATGCTTAATTAATTTCACTCACTTTTCACATTTTAGAAGAATGAGATTAATTAATCACTTAACCACGGTTCAAAGTTTCAATATGGATCGGTACTTAAATTACATGTCTTTTATTTTTTGGTAAAATATAAAATCTCCCCTCATAAAACTTTTCTTTAGTTTTACTTTAACAAAAATCTCCCTTAATTTTTTAAAGAATTCAACAAAAGCCTCTCTTCCGTCATTAATCCAGACGGAAAATTGACAAAGTTACAAAATTGCCCCTGATTAGTCATGTGAGGGTCATTAAAATATTTCAAAATACAGGAATTGCCCCTGTTTGTCCTATAGGATCCTCTCTGTTTAAGTATCTGTATACCAATGTTTTTAAAACTAGACCAGACCAGATGGTTGAACTGAAAAACCGAGAACTGGTCACCTGACTGGTTCCATTTTACCCTAGAACTGTCTTTTGGCCAAAAACTATTAATTTGGTCAGCAAACTGTTGATCCGGGTGGTCAATTTGTTCGAATTGTCAACTTGGATAACGATTTTTGACTGATCTTTACTTTTTTGTCAAAACAGTCCGTCCGTTCAGTTCGAACAGTCAAACCATTTGACTCAAGAACCAGACCCCTGAACGGTTCAATGTCCAGTTCAGTTTTAAAAACCTTACTGTATATGACACCACTTTCTCTTGGCGTTTGAAGGCTTTTAGTAAAAGGGGCAAGTTGCTGTGAAACTTAACCCCTTTGGAGATCTGATAGTGCATTTCGAAAGCAAGGAATGGTTGTCTATTTGAAGACCTTGCTTTACCTGCTAAAAAACTGTGTGCAAAATGTGAAAGAACTTTGTTCAGTTGGGCTTCTGTTAGTTATCTATTTCAGGGCGACGGCGACCAGATGAAAGAAGATGCAATTGCGAAGCACAAGAGTGGAAATACAGGTGTGGTTTTTAGGCTCCAATCCAGAGAGGAAGTTGTGACTAGGAAACTCTGATATATGTGTGGAGGCAGCACTTGTTATGGAAATCTCGCAGCTACACATTAATYGTGCGAGTATGGATCTCCTACCCATGATAACTCTGCCCATGTTTTATCGTAGCCACACGTGGAGAACATCTCATCCTCTACATAGTATTATGCAGGGGGAGATGTTCCCAATTCATGGGGGATAGTGTATTATGGGTAGGCATGGGCAGAGTTCTTGTGGGTAGGAGATCCGGAGTCTAATCTTGCTTGCTGTAGGAGAAATCAGGCGAACGTGAAGAGGGAAAACAAGCTTATATTTTGAGTTCCATTATTGGACAAGCAAGGGTAATTCTAGTATTTTGAAATATTTTAATGATGCTCTAACGATTAATTAGGGTAGTTTCATAATTTTATTGATTTTTCATGTGGGTCAGTGGTAGAAGGGAGGTTTTTGTCAAGTGAAACTATAGGAAAGATTTTCATGATTGTTAGGAACTTCAGGGGAGGTTTTGTATTTTACCCTTTATTTTTTTTAGTTTTGTTTTTCAAATTCAGTTTTAAATATAATTTTATATATGTTATTTAATAAAAAAGAAGTTTTTGAAAACACTTTTAAAGAAGTGTATCATGCACCCAAAAACACCATACAATACATCTAATACAAGGCATATCGTATTGATAAGAATTATCRATACTTTGAACTTTGTTAAGCCATTTTGATGAGTTTGAGCTAGGGGTCCAAATAAACATTGCATTGGCAAAATGCTGGTGGATGCTCAAGTAGGTTTGGGTGGTCAGAGATCCCGGAAAGATCTCAACATCGAAAGAGGAGGTGTTTGGTATAATGGTGTTTATCTGATAAATGTTTTGTACAAAATGCAGCCCCACTAGACACCATTAGGTGCCACATGCACCAAACAGTAAAAAACTGCCCCTGAAAATGAAAAATGACATTTTTAGCGTTTTTTTCTGATAAGTGGTTCTCACATAAATAGATAGAGAAACGTTAATTGGTTGAACCACGGTTTTTAAAATCGACCCAGAGATCGGACCAGTCAGGGGTCCGGTTATTGGGTCGAACAGTTGGCCCGTTTTGACAAAAAAATTTAAGAAAAATTAAAAAAATATAAAAAATGATCAAAACCGTTAAAACGGTTAATCACCCGGTTTTTTGAGGAAAATCTGGTTTTGGGGGAAAACGGAACCGATCACCGGTTCCCGATTTTTCCGGTCCGACCGTCCGATTTTGAAAACCATGGGTTGAACGACTCAACCAAAAATTAAATTGGGCGTTTATTTGTTAAACACTTGCATGGTGTTGAGCTAGTGTCGCTGCTCCAAAAACACCATCTTAGGTTGAAGCAGTTCTTTGGAAATATATTGGCTAGTCAGTCATGAGTGCCCAATTTGGTCCATGTAACTATAATTGATTAGATTGAGYGAGTGGTTGTTTAAGTGGTTGGTTTAACCATCTAGGTCAAGGATCTTTCACCGAGTTCATATATGCGCCCCACAATGCCCCATAGCACATACCCACCATCATCTGGAGAGGACGGGTTCATATTACTCCAAACCTTATATTCTCCCATTGGTTTGGGTGAAAGAGAGTTCACATCTGCACCCCACAACACATCCCCACCTTGTATTGGGAACATCTCCCAATAACAAATAGGGGAGATGATGAGACATCACTAGGAGATGTGCTGTGGGGCATTGTAGGGCATAGATGTGAACTCTCTTTCACCCAAACCAACGGGAGATTATAAMGTTCGGAGTAATATGAACCTGTCCTCTCCAGATGATGGTCGAAGGATCTATCAACAACGGATTGTAAACAATGGTATGGATTTTATTTTGCATTCATTAAATTAGGAAAATTAAGGGAGTATTCGACAACCTGAACCTCACATATTTATATTTGTACTCTTTCCAAACTGAACCTTACATGCTACTGTATGTACAACCCAACTAGCTAATCTATTAACATGACTCATCGAGTAGGAAGGAAGGTGAGTGAGTGAATATTTTGGCAATAAGAGATCTAAGCCACCACAGTGGGTTAAGACCATCCTACAACAGAAGGTTAGTAATCTGTTGAGCATTACCCTCAACGAGAACATCGATAAACTTCATATTACAAGCCAGTCGAATACCTTCAAGGAAGGCAAATTCGAATTTGATTAAAAAGTTCGATATTCGAATTCGATCTAATATTCAATGGATATTAAAAGTCAATATCTGAATTCGATTAATTATTTGAATATTCAATTCAATAAGAATTTGATTGATGAACTATTTTAGGTAATTAACAAATACATAAAATTAATATTTTATTTAAATAAAGTATATAAATATATAAATTATTTAAACATTTTATATATTATATATAACAATTAAATAATCACTCGAATTCAAATATTTATCGAATATCAAGTCATATATAAATTCGATTCAATTACTTAAACGATACAAATAGGATATCCGAATTTAACCGATTATGATATTTGAATTATCTGAATTTAATTATGTTGAATCTCAAATTCAAAATCAAAATTTCAAATACCATCACCCCTAGGCACGAGCCATAAAAATCAAAATCATTATGGTCTTGGACTACAATTCCCACCAAAGAACTAGTAGACTTTGACAATATCTACATTAATTTTAAGACTTTCCATGGGAGATTTGCACCATCAAATAGGGTACAAATTGGGTTGGGAATTTGTTAGTTTTTCAATGGACCCAAACTCTAATTTGAACCCAATGTATTTGAAATTCTTTAAATCGGGCAACCCAATTTGCAGTCCTAATTTCAACATTTTATTTTAGAAAAGAATAATCTACGATGCCAAAAAGACATGGTACCGGAAGGGTTTTGACCAATCCAAACTTTCATGAATTTGATAAAAACCACCTGATTGATTATCACTTTTATGATACCATTTGATAGTGTCATAATTGAACCCATGGAGAAAATGAAAGGCACCAGTTTTTTTTTTTTTTTTTTGGGGGGTTGGGAAAAAATAGGCTTCAATTAAAAAGTTGTACAAGTCTGAATATTAAGTCCTATACATCTAGCAGTGAAAATGTTCGAAAAGATGGCATAAGAAAACAAATTTGTTCAAACATGGGAGTGCTCCAATAGTTGAAAAAATGAGAGGAAAAGTAAGCTAAGA